AGTTCTTAATTAATCTTGCAGCTCAAATTTTCCTTCATCAGCACTAAAAAATCAATATATTTAGAAATGGATACATTATTTAATTATTACAGTGCATTAGGATGTTCTTTGTGCGTGTTTAAGGAAAGCATTGCTATAATTCGAAACTGAATGATCACAAAGTCATGTACAATCAACCCTTGTGGACTGTTTCCTAACGTTTGCCATCTGTGCCATGGAAAAAAGAAGAACATGGAATATATTTTAAGAATCATGTTTACAAACAGTCTGACTTTGATGTTCTCGGTTGCCTGTTTATTGTCTTTCTTGTCCTCTCCTGTTTATGATAGTAACATCTGAATGCAATCATTATAACATGCATCCCCATGCTAGCTCCCCCCTTACCCACATGCACATCTGCAATGAATAGTGAAGATATACCTTTAACAAATGCCCTGAGGTTGCTATCACATAGGAAGTTAAGATCGCTTTCAGTTTGCTACAGGGAGCGAAAGTTTGTTCAGTATAAATGTGTGGCTTCTTAGAATTAATTAGTAATATATATTCCAGATCTGCACAAAAAAAGCAGCATAGTATGCAACGCATTCCACCTAATTGACAACACTAAGTCATTACATGCACAAGTCGTATTCCAGATTCCTGTTAATATATTTTTTCTAAGGCATTTAAACAATATGTTTAGTTCTTCCACTGGTCTTTATTATCTATTGCATAACATCTAGACATAGTTTAATTTAAAAAAATAGTATACTTTATAATATTTAAATCATTCTTTCATGGCAGTAAGCTGGATCCCAAAACCTGCTGAACTTTTCAACTGAGTACAAATACAACTCCAAAGTAATATCAACCAGTAGCTATAGCAAAGAGCAGAGGTCATAGCTTAATGCTAGTGACCTACACATCTGGATGAGCAACTGATTGAAATATGCATGCTTCCATTAATATGGACCCAATCGTAGGTGTTGGGCAGATTTTTTGTTTCAACTTGTTTTGATTTAAAGGTTAGGTTAATTGCTTGGGTCAGGGTGGCATGCAACCAACTAAGAAACTGGAAGTTACAATAAGCAGGCTTAGTGCAAATATTAAAAAAAAAAATATATATAAAACTGTGTACTTGGTCTGGAAAAGATATTTTACTTTGACTGCTGAAAAAAAGATTTTTTTTTTTTTTTTTTTAACAGCATTAAAGGGAATAGTAGGTTTCTGTGTTTCCTCTCAAAAAGAAGGAAGCATTGCTAGCATTTTCAATGGGCACTGCAGACTAAGTTTGTCCAAGACTTGACTTTTGTGTGTGTCCATTTCCTAATCAATGTAATATATATTTCAGCATCCTCTACAAATAGGTTAGGTCTTAAAGATATTATATTTCAAGCTGATGTATGAACATATATAAGAAGTAGCAGCTTGTGTACTTCAATGGTAAATTCATCCTTATTGTGTCTTGGCATGCTGTCCCCACCTCAATAATATTTGATAGTTTTCAATATTGTTAAAAAAATCTGAAAATAGTTTAAGTCATTATTCCATATAGCAATATCAGCAATGTATTAGCAGCAATCTTACAAAATCAGAAATTGATTATTCACGAGCAAGAGCTAGGAAGAGGATTCCTCCCAATATTAATGAATGTTATCTAGTGTTGCTACATCTTATTATTATTATTATTATTATTACACAGGATGTATATAGCGCCAACAGTTTGCTCAGCGCTTTACAATATAACGGGAGACAATACAGCAACAATACAGTTCAATCTTGATCTCTTCCATGAGGTCTTTCATGTGGAATAAATGAAAATATGCAGAAAATAGGTAGAAAAAGAAGAAGGAAAAAGAGTCAGACTCATCAAATCCTTCAATTTGCCCTCTAATGTTTGTTGCTGACTGGTATTGATCTCCTCCCACATTCCTTCCCTTTTTTATTAGGTGATAACATTTATGACTGTGTGGACCTAGTCTATGGGCCTCATCTTATCTCAGACTGCTGCTGTTTGCCATTTATTATGCTTGTCGTCTTCTTTTGAGCATTATCAACAAGACTTTATCTTTGGTAAGTTCATGGTGTTCTGTTGGGGATTACCAGACTTAGCAAAAGAAACTTTTGCCACTAGACAGATAAAGCCTGAGAGGACTTTTGGAAGCCCAAAATTGGTTACCAAGTAGATAAGGAAATTTATTCTCATCTATAACTTTTTCACGTTTACAGCGCCTTGAAAAAGTACTCATACCCCTTGAAATTTTCCACATTTTGTCATGTTACAACTAAAAACGTACATGTATTTTATTGGGATTTTATGTGATAGACCAACACAAAGTGGCTCATGATTGTGAAGTGGAAGCAAAATGATAATGGTTTTCAACATTTTTGACAATTTGTGAAAAGTGTGGTGTGCATTTGTATTCAGCCCCCAGAGTCAATCTTTGTAGAACCACCTTTCAGTGCAATTACAGCTGCAAGTCTTTTTGTGTATATCTCTACCAGCTTTGCACATCTAGAGAGTGACATTTTTGCACATTCTTCTTTTCAAAATAGCTCAAGCTCTGCCAGACTGGATAGAGAGCATCTGTAAACAGCAATTTTCAAGTCTCAATTGGATTTCTGGAGTTTCACTGAGTCATTCTAACACATTAATATGCTTTGATCTCAACCATTCCATTATAGCTCTGGTTGTATGTTTAGGGTTGTTGTCCTGCTGGAAGGTGAACCTCTGTCCTAGTCTCAAGTCTTTTGCAGACTCTAGCAGGTTTTCTTCTAAGATTGCCCTGTATTTGGCTCCATCCATTTTCCAATCAACTCCAACAGCTTCCCTGTCCCTGATGAAGAAAAGCATCCCCACAACATGATGCTGCCACCACGTTTCACGGTGGGGATGGTGTGTTCAGGGTGATGTGCAGTGTTAGTTTCTGCCACACATAGTGTTTTGCTTTAAAGCCAAAAAGTTAAATTTTGGCCTCATCTGACCAGAGCACCTTCTTCCACATTTCACATTCCACGTTTGCTGTGTCCCACATGGCTTCTTGCAAACTGCAAATGGGACTTCTTATGGATTTCTTTCAACAATGGCTTTCTTCTTGCCAGTCTTCCATAAAGGCCAGATTTGTGGAGTGCACGACTAATAGTTGTCCTGTGGACAGATTCTCCCACCTGAGCTGTGGATCTCTGCAGCTCCTCCAGAGTTCCAGAGTAACTAATGCTCTCCTTTCCCGGTCTGTCATTTTAGGTGGATGGCCATGTCTTAGTAGGTTTGCAGTTGTGCCATCCTCTTTCCATTTTCAGATGATGGATTGAACAGTGTTCCATGAGATGTTTAAAGCTTGGGATATTTTTTTTATAACCTAACCCTGCTTTACACTTCTCCACAACTTTATCCCTGACCTGTCTGGTGTGTTCCTTGGCCTTCATGATGCTGTTTGCTCACTAATGTTCTCTAACAAACCTCTGAGGGCTTCATAGAACAGCTATATGTTTACTGAGATTAAATTACACACAGGTAGACTCTATTTACTAATTAGGTGCCTTCTGAAGGCAATTGGTTCCAGTAGATTTTAGTTTACGGGTATCAGAGTAAAGGGGGCTGAATACAAATGCAGGCCACACTTTTCACAGATTTATTTAAAAAAAGTTTGAAAACCATTTATCATTTTCCTTCCACTTCACAATTATGTGCCACTTTGTGTTGGTCTATCACATAAAATCATAATAAAATAAATTTACGTTTTTGGTTGTAACATAACAAAATGTGGAAAATTTCAAGGGGTAGGAATACTTTTTCAAGTCACTGTAGATGTTGCTGCCATACATGAGACACAGGGTGAATTTACCAAAGGCAAATAGTCTGTTCAGTTTCCATGGGAATTTTCCCATAGAGGAGTAAATGAGGTGGAGCTCTGTTAACTTCCATCATCCAATCATGTGCAAGCAAAAGCTATTATTATTGTTATACAAGGTTTATATTGCGCCAACAGTTTACACAGCACTTTACAACACGGGGCAGACAGTACAATTACCATACAATTTAATACAGGAGGGATAAGAGGGCCCTGCTAGTTAGAGCTTAAGCTATTTATTTTTTCCTTGCATGTGACTGGGTATTTTTCACAAAGTAAAATTTCACCACATTCACGGAGTATTGGAAACATTCTTGCCAAGTGAACACCCCATTTGCTTTTAGAAAATCAACTCCATGGCTCCCTGTTGTCCACATATATGAATATGCAATATAAAATGCAGGTAGTCTTGTTTGATTAAGATGTCCTCCAAGGAAAATTGTAAAGTTAGCATCTATTAGGGATTAAGTATCTCATTAAAAACTCCATATATGCATTTTTTCTGTTTCAGCAGTTACACCCAATCCTTTATGCAGAAACGTTTGTTCAAATCAGTGACAAATTATGAGGGAACGATGGAGGAAATGTATTTTTTGTTGTAGCGTAAAATTTCCACTCCCAAGTAAGTAAGACTCTGTCTTACTTATCTTACTCTGTCTTACTTATCGTTTCAATCATTAACCACTTGCCTACCAGGCACTTATACCCTATTATTTACCAGGCCAATTTTCAGCTTTCAGCGCTGCCGCACTTTGATTGACAATTGCGCGGTCATGCAACATTGTACCCATATGAAATTTTGATCATTTTTTTCTCACAAATAGAGCTTTCTTTTGGTGGTATTTAATCGCCACTGGGCACTTTACTTTTTGCGCTATAAATAAAAAAAGTGCAAAAAAATTTAAAAAAAAAAAAGTTTCTTTGTTTCTATTATAAAATTTTTCAAACAGGTAATTTTTCTCCTTCACTGATGTGCGTTGATGAGGCAGCACTGATGGGCACTGATAGGCGGCACTGATGGGCACTGATAGGCAGCACTAAAGGGCACTGATAGGCAGTACTAATGAGGTGGCACGGATAGGCAGCACTGATAGACAGCACTAATGATGTGTCACGGATAGGCAGCACTAATATGCAGCACTGATAGGCGGCACTGATAGGTGACACTGATGATGGGTACTGATAGACGGCACTGACTGGCATCACTGCTGGGCACTGACTGGCGGCACTGACTGGCACAACCACTGGACACTGACTGGTGGCACTGACTGGCAGCACTGCTGGGATGCACTGGTGGGTGGCACTGGTGGGCAGCACTGGTGGGTGGGCACAGGTGGGTGGCACTGGTGGGCACAGGTGGGTGGGCACAGGTGAGTGGCACTGCTGGGCACAGGTAGGTGGCACTTCTGGGCACAGGTGTGTGACACTGCAGAGTGGCACAGGTGAGTGCACTGCTGGGCACAGGTGGGTGCACTGCTGGGCACAGGTGGGTGATCTGCTGGGCACAGGTGGGCGGAGCTAGTGGGCGCACTGCTGGGCACAGGTGGGCGGAACTTGCGGGTGCCACTGCTGGGCACCAATCATCAGGGCACTGATCATCAGTACCCTGATGATCGGTGCCGATCCTCGCTCTGACAACTGCCGGTTCTCGGCAGTACTTTCCTCACGATCTGACAGCGTGAGGAAAGTGCAGCCGAGAATCGGCACTTGCATTTCCCTCTGATCAGCGTGTCATTGGACACCGCTGATCACGTGGTAAAAGGCCGCTGTGATTGGCCTTTTACCACATCACGTGATCAGCTGTGTCCGTAGGACACAGCGATCACGGAGATCGCCGGGTGCGCGCCCCCTGGGGCGCGCAGGAGAGCGCGTTCTGGGAGGACGTCATATGACGTCCACTCAGAACTGGCCGGCCGCAGTGCAGCCGTCAAGTTAATTGATAAATATATAGTCACCTCTTTAGTACTGTATTTGTAATTTTAATTTTTTTCTTAATTGTCTTATTTTTTAAAAATTAAAAACAATATTCAAACTGCTATTAAAACGGGGCTACTCAATAGCAACCAAAAACAACTTAATATTGTATTCAACTGCCCATGTTTGCTTGCTATTTTTTGAATATCTTCTCAATGCCACTTTCCAATGTCATGAAGACAAGAACTCATTCTGAATTATCCTCATATAAACAGTTGCTGGGATTTATAAGAAGGCTGAAGCTTAATGCTGAAATTAACAGCTTGACAAGTTTGACAAGCTTGGACTTGGACTGGACTTGACAAGCGTATGCAAATTTTTGAGAAAACGTTAAACATATTATTAGATGCATTTCTGTTGTGTTAAAATGAAAGTCCATCCAATTTTTTATTTTATTTTCTCACACACTGTACTTTCTCCTGATTCTTGCTCCTGTTCCTCTGAAAAGTGAAGATACGGAGCAGAGAGAGGACAGTAACATAGTGGATGAGGAGCTTGAGCAGTTGGGAGGGCCTAAACAATCTGACACTGCTGCCAGATTTTGCAGCAATGAAACAACGAGTTAAACTTGGCACAGTTGAACTATTTTGAGACTGTAAGTGAGGCTTGGAACATAGTTCTCACTGTTATATTTAGCTTAGAGCTGAACTCTAGAATAAGAAAGTATTGTAAATATAAGAGACATGTGTGCAATTGCTTGAATCTTGGTGTGCTTTGTGTATTTCTTCCAGATCCAGCATATACGTAGGCAGGCTATGATTAAGACATCGTAACAAATGAAACACATTAGCAGACTGTGTCCTTGTTAAAGTAACAGAGGGTAAGCCATAATAAGCCTTATCTGTAGATACAGTAAATATCTCCTAAACGAGTATCATTTAGGAGATATTCACATTTGTAGCGGCCGGTGACATTATTGGCGAACGTGCACTGCTCTCTAAACTAGAGTATTAACCACCATTCCTTATACTTGCACCTCTTAGAAAGGCTGCATTTAAAACTCAAATGAGTGGCTTTGTGCGAGTTTAGTGATTTGAAAACAAGACAGTTATTCATCTATGGTTTTAACAATGCCAGGCTTTGGACAATAAAATATTGTAGATGCCAATAAAGGCACACATGGTTTCTCAGTGCACCTGCAGTATATTAGATGAAGTATCTTTGTTTTGTTTTTTGTTCCATATATACTTTATTTTCAATACATTTAGTTTAGTATATATGGTCAGAAATGTATGGAAAAAATAAACATATCACATATCACTTACAAGCCATTTCAATGTGCTCTGTGAAGTTATTTTAAGATTGCAATGGCACTGATCATTTCCCTACTCGCGTCTGCAATCTACAACAGGTCTACCTCCCCTTGTATGTCGGACAAATCAGCTGCCATATAGGAGCTGCTGGAAATTTAAGTTTACCCCTGGTTCACATATGTGTGACTGTGCGGGTCTCAATTTGTGTGGGCACATGAGACCATTCATTTGAATGGACTCCCGTGCCCTGGGACACACAGGGAAGATGTCCCTGCACTACTTGGGAAATTGCAGCCTGCACGGGAATCGAGGTTCCCAGTACAGTTGTGATTTACAGTGAGTTCGGTGTGCCATTAGAATTAACCTGCTGGTCCCGTATTCCTCTGTGTGGGTGATGTGGCTGCTGGTATTTGTGCGGGTCCCGCAATGGCACCACCCGCACAGATATGAACCATACAGAAACCTGGCTTCAAGCAGCAGATTCTTCTTCTCCCACAGCACTTTCCTATGGATGCCTTCTCTGGACTCATTCACCCAGACCCAGTGGTTGGAAAGGTGGTGGAGTTGGTTTGCTTCTATCCCCACTGAGCACCTTTCAAGTCCTACCTAACCCTCTGTTCTCTGGAGTGACAAATCATGCTTCTCTGTTTGGCAATCTGATGGACGTGTCTGGGTTTGGCAATTGCCAGGAGAACGGTACTTGCCTGACTGCATTGTGGCAAGTGTAAAGTTTGGAGGGGGGATTATGCTGTGGGGTTGTTTTTCAGGGGTTAAGCTTTGCCCCTTAGTTCAGGTGAAGGGAACTCTTAAGGTGTCAGCATACCAAAACATTTTGGACAATTTCATGCTCCCAACTTTGTGCGAACAATTTGGGGATGGCCCCTTCCTGTTCCAACATGACTACACACCAGTGCACAAAGCAAGTCCATAAAGACATGGAAGAGCGAGTTTGGGGTAGAGGAACTTGACTGGCCTGCACAGTCCTGACCTCAACCCAATAGAATAGCTTTGGGATGAAGTAGAGCAGAGACTGTGAGCCAGTCCCTCTCATCCGACATCAGTGCCTGACCTCACAAATGCGCTTCTGGAAGAATGGTCAAACATTCCCATAGACACACTCCTAAACCTTGTTAACAGCCTTCCCAGAAGAGTTGAAGCTGTTATAACTGCAAAGGGTGGGCCAATGCAATATTGAACCCTATGGACTTAATCTGGGATGCCATTAAAGTTCATGTGCGTGTAATGGCAGGCGTCCCAATACTTTTGGCAATATAGTGTATATGCTCTCTGGTTCTACAGGCTCCACCCCAGTGAAGATAAGATAGATTGCACCTTTGGTTTTCTTAGCAAGCCCCAGTCTCTGTCCCCCCTTTTGTTTTCCTTAAAACTCCCCCCTCCACCCATAATTTTTTTTTATCTTTTCCCCTCCCCCTATTTCATCACTAAGGCCAATAAATTGACCAAATAAGGTGTCCTGCAAACCCATGTTTTGACAAGAAATAAATTAACAGCAGGAGATCAGAGAGAAGGCATCATCACTTTGTTGCTGCACTTCCACTGTCCCAACACAAGCTGAGGGCTTTTAAAATTGCCACAGCAATGTGTACCTCATTGTCAGGCTGTAAGGTCAAAATCCTATTGGGCATCCAGGGAGAAAACCAAGCTTAATCAATACCTTTTTAGTGCCCCCTAGCTACCAATGTGAAAGAACCCTAAAAGTTTTGATAAACAATCCACCAGAAACCTTATTACCAAGCCAAATCTGATTATTAGGCTTTAAAGGAGAACTATAGCCAAAGTTTTTTATGGATCAGAGTAGTCCAGTTAGGTCTGCACTCCTGCGACCTGTTTTCAGCTGACAGCAGGCCAAAGCCTGCTGGAGGACTGACATCATAGAGCCAGCCCAGGATCTGAAAAGATCCTGACCATATGGTCGGGATCCACCCAGAGGCCTGGACTGGCACCTGGCTCAGTCTTTCAGTGATCCACTGAGAGCCTGAGTTAGCCCCTCCCATCCCCAGCACAGCACTCCAGAGAGCGCAGGAAGGGTGGAGCAGAGAGCCACCGTTTGACAGTCACAGCTCTCTGCTCAGATCGGAGGGAAGACCTGAACAATCAGCGGAGTTTGATCACTCAGTTCTCACTGAGACCAGCGGGGTACGCAGATGCAGCCTTGGATCGATGCTGCACCCACCTAGGTTAGTATAATGGGTTTTTAATAAATCCCATACTTCTCTTTTAAGTTAATGCTCTGTTTCAAGAATACAATCATATATATGTGTGTGTGTATATATATATATATATATATATATATATATAATTTTATTATTTAATGCATGTACAGTATATGCAATTTTGTATCGTAGGTTTTTTTGGTACCTATTAGACAGATAGTCATTGCCACCAATCTTCTGATCATGATTTCACAGGTGGTAATAAATGAGAAATGAGGTCTTAGCTAAAAAGCTGAGGACACTTATGCGCATCAGTGAAATATCCGGGACAGCTGCCCTCCATTTACTTGCTTGCCTGATATTCATTATAGCTGAGCTGAAGAATGCAAAGAAAGTATGTTAATCCAAGTAAGAACTCTCACTTCTCCTCATTGTTCCTGTGAGTATAGTTTGTGCACTGTGCAACAATTCACTTAGAATATAGCAATTCTTGAGCTAAATAGTGTTATAAAATAGCTTATAAAACAGACTGGGTTGTGTTGAGGTTTAAGATGGATCGCAGTCTAAACTCTGCAGTGTCTGACCGTTGTGCATTGCATCATATGTATGATATTTTTTATCAGCACATCTTTGTATTAAAAATAATTAAGAACTGAATAACATATGTTTTGATGTGTACATTCTAATAAAGTCAATTTTGTTTATGCAATCCATTCTGCAAATTACTATATGATATACTTCCAGAGTACATGCACATGATTAGTTGGTTAAAATGAATACAAGTTATCCAAACCAGAAACTAAAGTAATTATTCCCAATTTTGTTATTAGAGATGAGCGAATGCTGCAAAATCTACCCCACTATATAGATGCACCAAGTCCAGATTTGCAATTTTATTTAAAAGTTGGATATCAGAGGAACTTCCATCATTTTTTTCTTCACTTGACTACAGTTGCCAGATCAAAGGTTTTTAATACCATTGGCTTTTTCTTTGTGCCCCAGCACAGTAGGTACATGGGTTCCGTACAGCTGGAGGCCTGCAAAAGTCATTACCACGCATAGCCAACCCCCATTTGATACCAGTGCATACAGTCATTTAGGAAAGTATACCTCTTGAAATTTGTTGACTTTTTAGGCATATTTGAGCCGACAATCATTAGATCTTATGTTTATTAGCGTCTACACATATAGGTAATATACTCACACATAAAAATGACAAAATGCATTTATTTTCACAGTCTAAGTTTGGGCCAAAGTGCAAGCATCTACAATTGTAAAGAGATTGCATCAACTCAACCTGCACGTGAGGTGTGTTAAGAATACAAAAAAACATTAGAGCAAGACTACTATTATTATACAAGACGTATATAGCGCCAACAGTTTTCTCAGCGCTTTAAAATATAAAGGGAGACAATACAGCAATGATACAATTCAATATAAGAGGGTTAGGAGGACCCTGCTCCTGGGAGCTTACAATCTAGTAGGGAGGGGCTGGTGGAACAAAAGGTACTAACTGTGAGGGATGAACTGATAGGAGAAATAGAAGATTTGGTTATTAGCTGAAGACAGGATAGGCTTCCCTGAAGATGTTTTCAGGGATTGCCTAAAGGCGGACAGAGTAAGAGATAGTAGGACAGATTGGGTTAGAGAGTTCCAGAGGATGGGGGAGGCTCTGGAGGAGAGCATGATAGAAGGAGACAAGGTAAATAGAGAACAGGAGGCCTTGTGAGGAGTGGAGAGGACAGTTTGGGTGATACTTGGAGACAAGATTGGTGATGTATTTTGAGGTGGAGTTATAAATGGCTTTATATGTTATTGTTAATGTTTCAAATTTCATTCATTGGGCAATGGGAAGCCAGTGGAGAGATTGGCAGAGAAGGGACATGGAACGGGTGGTAAGGTGGATGGGTCTGGCAGCAGCATTCATGATAGACTTAAGAAAGCCTAAGCCTGCAATTAGATAAGTCAATGAGGAGGGAGTTAAAGATTGCCATTAAATATAAATATAGAGTTGTTTACTCACAGTGCCAATAGGCATGTTTGCAGCAAACCAAAGACAGTATTTCATAACAACTGTAAAGCATGGTGGTGGATATGTTATGGTTTGGGGTTGGTTTGCTACTTCAGGGCCTGAGCACCTTGCATTCATCAGGTCATTTAAACAGTCTACATCATTTTAAAGTGTGCTTGATGAGAATGGGAGGCCATCTAATCGAAAGTTGAAGTTACACCAAAAATTAGTATTTCAATACCATAAAAAGAGTAAAAGAGAGACAAAGGGCTATGGGTTGCCCTAGTCAAAGCCCTGATTTAATACTTGTTGAAATTTTGTTGGAAGATCTTGAAACTGGCAGTTTGTGCAAGGAAATCCACATATTACTGGCAACTGAAGGAATTTTTCAAGGAGACATGGTCAACAATGTCAATATCAGATTTGATATGAGGCACTGATGGGCAGTTATACAGGAGTAAATATCAACATCTGATTCCAGAGCTGTGCTTACTTTTCCACTGTACATTTATTCTGCTATAATGATGATTATATGGCACAACCCTTGTTTTTGGCATTGATACACAATGGGGGAAAAATTATCAAAATGGAAGCAGCCAGAATCTGGAACAGCAGTGCGTGGCAACCAATCAGCTTCTATCTTCAGCTTTTTCAGTTAAGCTTTGAAAATGAAAGGTGAAAACTGGTTGGTTGCCATGCACATCTTTTTCAGATACAGGCTGTGATCAGCTGTGTCCAATCACAGCTGATCACATGTAATCAGGGAAATGCCGGTTATCGGCATTTCTCTCCTCACGAGCTGTCACGCTGACAGCTCGAGAGGAGAGGAGAGCCGGTAATCGGCATCCCTCGGAGGGGACATGTCCTGATGATCTGTGTAGCCCCAGCAGTGCCACCTGTCAGTGTCCATCAGTGCCAGCTGTCAGTGCTCATCCATGCCCCCTGCCAGTGCCCATCAGTGCCACGTTTCAGTGCCTACCAGTGCACATCAATGCCACATATCAGTGCCCATCTGAGCTGCCTTTAAGTGTCACCCATCAGTGCCAGTCAGTGCCACCTATCAATGCCAGTCAGTGCCACCTATCAGTGCTGCCAATCAGTGCCACCTAGCAGTGCCAGTCAGTGCTGCCTATCAGTGCCAGTCAGTGCCGCCTATCTGTGCGCATCAGTGCCGCCTATCAGTGCCCGTCAGTGCTGCCTATCAGTGCCGCCTAACAGTGCCAGTCAGTGCGCCTATCAGTGCCAGTCAGTGCCGCCTATCAGTGCCATATATGAGTGCTGGCTTTCAATGCCCATCAGTGATGCCTGTCAGTGCCTATCAGTGCCACCTACCAGTGCCTCCTCATCAGTGCCCGTCAGTGCCACCTATCAGTGTCCATCAGTGCAGCCTATCAGTGCCCATCACTACAGCCTCATTAGCGCAACATCAGTGAAGGAGAAAAATCACTTATTTACAAAATTTTATAACAACTAAGAAAAAAGTTTCCCCAACCCCAACTGATCACTTTAGCTTTTTATTGAATACATTGGTGAATCAAGTGTTTTTGTTTGTTTTTTACCTTAGCCGGTTTTCTGCAGCTGAAGAAATCATTAAATATGATTTAATGAATAACTGTTTTTGACCCATTGTAAATGATAGACTTTCAACTGTCAGCATTACCTTAGAAATTAAGAGGTTTTTCACCTTGGTGCTGAATGTACAAACAACATAAAATCAATTGCCAATCAAATAACTGACAGTTTTGAGCAGAAAGCCCCTTAGTGCCCTATTTAAAGGGATTGTAAACCCTCACCTTGTAAAACAGCCCACTGAGTTTAAAAGAGAAATGAAAGACAAAACTTGCATATATAACAAAAAGGTATAGTAAAAACAGTATACTGTAAATACCATTTTTCCAATGCAATGCATAAGAGTTAGGGGAGAAGAAACAGCAGCACACTGATCTTTCCAGCAAGAGGCAGTGCAGAGGGGGTATGTCAGCAGAAGTCTGATCATTGGAAGAGAGCAGGCACAGCTAATCAACTGACCACACTGTCATCTCCTGCCTAGTGTGGTCAGTTTTTATAAGAAAGCAAAGGGTCTGGCAGGAACACCAGGGATTTCACACAAAGGAAGCTATACAAAGAGAACAGAATAGTTTTTCATACAAGTATATGGTACAGCAAACACATATCAAGAATATGAAATGTTGGGTTTACATAATCTTTAAGTATAGGTAAGGGAGAATGCTACTTACATTTACAATTAATTCAGATTGTTCTTAATATATGCCATATAATCTTCAGGTTTGTAAAAAAAAAAAACGTTTTACAGAGTGTTGCTCAGAAGGTCCATTGTGATAGGCAGCTTAGGGTCCAGTGTAATGGCCCTGGGCATTTCTTGACTTTTCTGACCTTCCAGCTATCATAGCAGACAGAGGCTGCCTCAAAAATAGGTGCCCCATCAATCAAACTAAAAAAGACATTTCATGCTCAAAGACCAAAACAGTCAGAAGAGCATCGTGTCACATAGAATCACAAATAGAATAACTCACATTTTTTTAGGCACACTGAAAATATGTATATAATTACAAAATATAACAAAAATAGATGACAAACAGACAAACACTTTTTCTTTAGAACAATGTTCAGTAGAAAAGGAAATGTCTCACTATGCTTTGCAGAGTATCTAACCCATCTATTAAAACGTACGTATATGTCCCTGACTTTGGATCAACTCAGGGTTGAGAAGTAATTTGTATCTTTCAAATAAAGCTGCAGCAAAACTGACCTCAAAGGTTACTATGAGACAAAGTGGTCAGTAGATCTAGAGATATATACAGCTGACGTTATAAAAAGCAAGTTTGGCTCTACCCCTTTCCACCTCCTGACCAGGTGATGGGTGACTTTACACATTTACATATAAAGGGTAGGGGCTACGTTTATCTTTTACACAGGGGTCTCCAAACTTTCTAAACAAAGGGCCAATTTACTTTTTTTTCAGTCTTTAGGGGGGCTGGAGTGGCCGGTGGGAATAAAAAATGTCCTAGTGTCAGTGGGAGTAAACAATGTCTTGGGCTTGGAGAAGGAATAGTGATCCATGATTGATATTAGTGGGAGGAATAGTGTTCCCATTCATTGGTATTAGTGGGAGGAATAGTGTCCCATTCATTGGTATTAGTGGGAGGAATAGTGTCCCATTATTGGTATTAGTGGGAGGAATAGTGTCCCATCATTGGTATTAGTGGGAGGAATAGTGTCCCATTATTGGTAGTAGTGGGAGGAATAGTGTCCCATTATTGGTAGTAGTGGGAGGAATAGTGTCCCATTATTGGTAGTAGTGGGAGGAATAGTGTCCCATTATTGGTAGTAGTGGGAGGAATAGTGTCCCATTATTGGTAGTAGTGGGAGGAATAGTGTCCCATTATTGGTAGTAGTGGGAGGAATAGTGTCCCATTATTGTATTAGTGGGAGGAATAGTGTCCCATTATTGGTAGTAGTGGGAGGAATAGTGTCCCATTATTGATATTAGTGGGAGGAATAGTGTCCCATTATTGGTATTAGTGGAAGGAATAGTGTCCCATTATTGTAGTAGTGGGAGGAATAGTGTCCCATTATTGGTATTAGTGGAGGAATAGTGTCCCATTATTGGTATAGTGTGGAGGAATAGTGTCCCATTATTGGATATTAGTGGGAGGAATAGTGTCCCATTATTGGTATTAGTGGAAGGAATAGTGTCCCATTATTGGTAGTAGTGGGAGGAATAGTGTTCCATTATTGGTAGTAGTGGGAGGAATAGTGTCCCATTATTGATATTAGTGGGAGGAATAGTGTCCCATTATTGGTATTAGTGGAAGGAATAGTGTCCCATTATTGGTAGTAGTGGGAGGAATAGTGTTCCATTATTGGTAGTAGTGGGAGGAATAGTGTCCCATTATTGGTATTAGTGGGAGGAATAGTGTCCCATTATTGGTATTAGTGGAAGGAATAGTGTCCCATTATTGGTAGTAGTGGGAGGAATAGTGTCCCATTATTGGTAGTAGTGGGAGGAATAGTGTCCCATTATTGGTATTAGTGGGAGGAATAGTGTCCCATTATTGGTATTAGTGGAGGAATAGTGTCCCATTATTGGTAGTAGTGGGAGGAATAGCGTCCCATTAGTTGTAGTAGTGGGAGGAATAGCGTCCCATTATTGGTAGTAGTGGGAGGAATAGCGTCCCATTATTGGTAGTAGTGGGAGGAATAGCGTCCCATTATTGGTAGTAGTGGGAGGAATAGCGTCCCATTATTGGTAGTAGTGGGAGGAATAGCGTCCAATTATTGGTAGTAGTGGGAGGAATAGCGTCCCATTATTGGTAGTAGTGGGAGGAATAGCGTCCCATTATTGGTATTAGTGGGTGGAATAGCGTCCCATTATTTGTAGTAGTGGGAGGAATAGCGTCCCATTATTGTTATTAGTGGGAGGAAGAGTGCCCCATGATTGGTATCACTGGAGACAACAGGACCTAATTGTTCATATCAGTGGAAGAAAAAATGCCCCATTGCTGGTGTCATTGGGAGATATGATTCCCTACTGTTGATGTCATTGGAAGGAATAGTGCCTTCTTGCTGGTGTTTATGGGAGAAATAGTGCCCCAAGAGCCAGAAAAAGGCAAACAAAGGGCTGCATTCGGCCCACGGGCTACAGTTTGGAGACCCCTGTTTTAAAGGAAAGGTTAGAGAAAGGGAGAGAAACAAAAACAAAAGTACCACTGAAGCCCCATACACACGTTCCAAATATCAGCCAAAATCAGTACAGCAGATACCGATCGACAATGAAATTACCGTGCGTACCAGGCTTTATGGATCATTACACACATCTTCATGCTAGCCATGCTAAATGCATGTCTTTCCTCCTTGGCCAGGTTTTGCAGCCCTCTACAGAAAATATAACTGCAGTACATTACCTACATTATCCTAGAGAACAATGGAGAAACACAATAATAATAACTAAAATAAAAAATGTTAATTAAGTTAATTTTTAAATAAGGCATTTATGTTAATAGTACAATATAATCCTAACCTCCAGCATTTGTTAAACTATCTCTTTATTTATTAAATAAAGTAAAACAATTGATAGATAAAGCACATCTTCAATTTGCAAAACACTCTCAAATGTTGGTATAATGTGATAATCATACTCACAGCTCTAGACGTGTACACATGAAATGCATTCTGTTGGCATATTTAAAGCTTAAAGCGGAGTTCCACTTACACTGTAAAAAAATAAAGTCAGCAGCTACAAAAACTGTAGCTGCTGACTTTTAACCTCCCTGGCGGTATTCCCGAGTGTAGCTCGGGGTTAACTTTCAGTACCAAAAGTGGTAACCCCGAGCTAAACTCGGGATTACCCTGCAGCGTTGCTCAGGGATTCCCTCCAGCACTTACCTTGTCCTGTGCTCCTGCGATGTCCCCCCTGCAGCGTGGGAAATTCAAAAATGTTAAAAGTGACATTCACTCAATACACTAAAATCTGATAGTATTACATTACTGTATCAAACCATTTCACATACATTTTGCCCCTACTGCTTTGTCCTGCGCCCTGCCTGCATTTTTACCGTTCTTTCTGCCTGGAAACTGAGAAACGTCCATGGCGTCCAGAAAGCGTCCCTTTAGGTCAAAATTGGTTTTAGACCAGCTAGAGAACAGCGATAGTAAATTAGAAGTACTTGCAGAATTGAGTGATAATGATCCATGCACAAAAAAATTTACCGCTTTGAGCACAGAAATACTGACATAATCAACCATTGGGGATTATATTATTGAAAAAACAGCCACTCACCTGCCTCACGATCCTGCGGTGTGCCCGCCACAGCCATTTTACTGGCTGTCCTGTATTCTAGGAGACCGGCATCTTCAGTGTGGGCACCTGGCTGTGACAGTTTGCGGCTGCACAGCCAGGTGCCCACTGCACATGCACGAATAGTGCTGCGCTTCCTGAATGGCCCCGTAGTATTCTGGGACCTGTCACATGTGGGCACCCCACAAGACTACGGGAAGGGAGGTGCCCACTGGAGGACAACTTCCGCTCCCCCCCTGCTCCCCCAAAGGTGCCAATCCTTAATGGGGAGCGGGGGACCAATCTTTAAAGCAGAACTTCACCTTTTGGGTGGAACTCCACTTTAAAAAAAACTTTAATACTCCCCTATTTTTAGTAATCCAGTGTTCATGTCCTA